AAGGAAATGAATTTACAAATTATACAATACTAACATATTTTGCACAAAAATTTTGTCCACCACACTCACCTTACAGGCTGCTCACTAGGCAAGGAAGAAGGCGTACCACCTTCGATGTTGTTTTTCTCATGAAACACACTACTAAGATTGCCCGATACTTTCTTTGTCGTGGAGGTTTTCACTGTTTCTAATTTTTGTGTTTCCATTACTTAGCTGACTTCTGCTTTCGGTTTTGGTAATTTTGTGGAGAAGATTCAAAGTTCTTCTCTGTTTCAGCAAGAACCAGAGATGCTGCTTCCACTGCCTTATTTTGTTCCCGATCACGCCACCTTTTGAGCTCTCCCTCCACTGCCTACTTGGCTGCCTCAGCCATTTCTGCTTTCTTCAAAGTCTCATGAGTAGCAATTTTCATGCCCTCAATCTACTTCTGGCTATTCTCCAACTTCTGGAGGGCCTCCACTTCACTTTCTCTCACAGCTTCTACTTGAGCTATTGCAGCTGCTACTTTCATTTCTGTTAACTTTTCAGATTCTTCAACCTTTCGGCTTGATGACTTGAATTCAACTCTTGAAATTGGGATCTGAGCACCTGGCTCTGAAGTCGGGGAACGTGCATCATTGATTTTCTCAGACAGCAAACTATTTAAGGCTCTAGCATCCGCTGCCTTCACTTCTTCGGCTTCGTTTAATGCAACTTTAAGCTTAGTTTCTGCTGCTTCTAGCTCAATTTTTGCTACTTCTGCTTCTTTCTTAAGTTCTTCGGTGTTGCGTTTCATCTCTTCAACTTCATGCTTAGCACTTTCACTCTCCAATGATAGCTGGTAGATGGTAGAAATCATTTCATCAGATATCCCACTTAATTTTGCCTCTTCTGCAAAGGCTGCTTCAAGCTCAGACTGGCTCTCTGGAACTTGACATGCAGATTACCTGTAGAGGATTCAGTTCCTGTTTCCCTCTCCTTCATTTCTAAACGCTCTCTATTTGTGTTTTCCAGTTCTATCTTAAGGGTCTCCACTAGGCTCCTTGGCGAGTTTTCCTCTTCTGCCACTTTATGTAGAAATTCCTTAGCATCATCCAACTCCGCAGTAATGGTCCTCACAAAATTGAGATCTGAAGCCCTTGCTTTTTCCATCCCTCTTTGTAGAGCCTCAATTTCTGAAATGATTCAAGCCAGCTGAGTCTCCAGATTCTTATTAACATTGGGATCGAGACTTTTCTTCAAAGCAAGCAATTTTTTAGCCAACTCCTCGACTCTGACTTTATATGACTGCTACGACTTATCTTGTCAGCATAGATCTTTGCTTCCTCATCTTGTACTTGAGTACTAGAAGCTTCGCCTCGTGTAATGTAATGCCCCAAAATTTCACACATGTTGAGGTGTTACCAAACATAATTTCATATACTTAAAATGCTGAACATTAAATTTCTATTTTTCTAAATAAACAAAACAT